GGAGGGAGGGAGGGAGGGAGAAAGAAAGAAAAGAAAAGCTCAAAAGAATGAATGAGTCACTTCGGCAGGACTCAGAGATGACTTTCAGCTAAACGTCTGGGTACAAAGTCCAACACACCTGCCCACTTGTGCTCTCTTATGCCTGTGGTCTCCCTCGCCCCTTCCTCTCCCCATCCCCTGTGCTCCATTGAGGGCCCTGACCTAGAACAGAATCCACCGGGGCCTCAGATACAGGCAGCTCAGTTCAACGAGAGGTTTTCCAACCTAAAACAATGTTCAGTTCACCTACATTTTAAATCAGAAATACTGTAACTTATCCTAAACTAAACATTTAAAACTTTCAGTTTCATACAATAGCCAATTAGGAGGAGGGGTTGGGAAATAGGGATGGGGGAGGGAGCGTAGAATAGAAGGAAAGGTTAAGTGGGAGGAAGAATGGAGAGAGTATCATGCAGTGTCAGGCAGGAGAACAGGACCCGCTTGAGGTATTTCAAGGAGGGATTTAACACAGGGGATGAGGTGCTCACAAAGCTGTTAGGTTGGCTGGAGGAGCACAGACCTGAGAAGATCACCCCCAGTCTCAGGTTCACCACCAGCTTGCAGAGAACCTAGAAGCTGCCGCCACTGCCCTCGCCAGACACTCTAGGGAACGGCCAGAACCATCACAGCTGCCTGCGGCCCTAAGTGGGTGAATTACAGGACAGAACCTCCCACCTGCCCACACGTCTGCCCATCCAGCCAGGGACAGAATGACAAGGCTTCTGTCTCTTTGCTGCCTTCCAAACCCTAAGTGCTTCTCACTGGTGGGACTTGAAGTGTATCTGGGACTCTACTGGGAAGGTAGTTCTTAAGCTCCCAGCCCCTGCCAGATGGGACAGAATATAGAAGGGGGTATATAGAGTGTCGGGTGCCCACACAATAGTCAGCACAGAGGAAAGAGAAAAAAGGGGAGAGGGAAAGACAGAAGATGAAAATGGAGAGCTGGCGGGGGGAAGGATGGTTCAGACAGACAGCGGGCAGACAAATGAGACATGGCAGGGAGCAATCTTGACAAAATAAGACGGGAGAGACCAAGGATGTGAGAGAAGTCAGGAGACTAAAACGGAAGGAGGGAGACTTGGGTCTGTGGGTGTTGGGGGGAGGGGTGGCCATTGAGCCCACTCATTTGGGTCTGTTGCCAGGGGAAATGTTGACTTGCCCAACGCTGATCAGGGCTGTGGCTCTCAAACTTTATTGTGCATTAAAAACCTGGGATAACTTTTTTTAAAAACCTCAGAGATTCTGATCCAGAAAGTCTGATGCTAGACCTGGGAATCTGCTTTTGTTTTTTTTTAAAGCTCCCAAGTGATGCCTGTGGTCCTTGGGTGACATTTCGGGAATCATTGCCTTTGCAGCTCCACTGAATGGTGGAAATGCTCTGAACAACAGCAGTTGGGGTGGCTATGAAATGGCTAATGCGTTCAAGCTGAAGATCTGCTCTGGTCAGAGGCCTCCCACCATCCCACTTACAGCCACAAGTTGCTACCTGGGATGTCTAAGGTCCCGTCCTCTTACTGCCAGCTCACTGCTCCCCTTCCTTCCAGCTCCCCAAGAACTGATGTCCTGGTTGATTTTTACCTCTAAACAAGCTAATTAAGCAATAATCCTAGAAGAATCCATCACTCTGACAAGGTTGTTGATTAACCATCCCTCAGCCAAGCCAAAAGTGCTTAACATCCCAGCGGAGTGGTCCATAATGAGTACACCAGCGACACTGGGCTACAGCAGAGCAGGTGATGTCTGAATCTGAGCAGATAGATGCGGAATGGGCAGTCTGGCCGACTTTTCAGCCTGATGGAGGACAGTAGAGAGGAGGATGGACAGGCTGGAGGCTGTACTGGCTGGGGCATCCCTCTAGACCATCCTCTCTGAGACCGCCAGAAGTCCCCAGAGGACTTCTAAGGTTATGCACAAGTCTGGACCACGGGAGAAGGGCCATGTGAAAGGGGCTGGATACAGAGACATAATTCTCCAACTTTACAGCTGTTGTCAGCTCCATAGCTGCCGGAGTCAGAAGAGATAGGCAAAACGAAAAAATGACTGCCTTCCAGAGATCAGTTTCAAGTTCAGACTGATATATCTTCTTTTTTCCGCACTTAGACTCCTTTTAAACACTCTTCTGTTCCCTTAAAAGATTGACTTTTTTCAGTGCTCAGAAAAGTCTCTCTGACCAAGCAGGATGTGGTGAAACACTGCCCCCTGATGGTCACAGTTGTTGCAGCTTCGAAGCATCCACCTTCCAATTTGTCCAAGCTGCCTTTTCAGCGGAATCGCCCTATCATCTGTCTGACTCTGTCTTCATCTGAATTCTCATCTCATTCCTGCCCCTTTTTTTTGCATAAATAATAGATGATATTGGTAAATACTCTTGAGCCAGGGGAAGGAAACTGACCCCCAGCTGTGTCACCCTCATAGTGTCACTGTCATCTTACGTCTTTAAGAGTTTCCAATTCTGTTCAGGCACAAAGGAAAGAAAATAGCATAGAGTAAGTGTTCAATAGTGTGAAGGGAATGAGTGAATGAGCATGCGTAGTGTAAAGACGGGGAGTGTGGGGAGTGGACAGGGCACCAGGCAAGGACTCTGGAGTCTCAGGTTCAAATCCCAGTTCTGCCTCCATACGGCTCTGTGTGCTTTGAGGAATGGCCTTCTCTTTCCAGGATACCTTCTTCTCTGAAATGAAGGGGCAGAACTTGGAGATCTCTAAGGTCCCTTCCACAGCACACACTTGGGGAGGCAGGTCCTGAGGCTTATAAGCCAAATCATCATTAAGAGGCAGCAATTAGGCAAGAAAAAAAGATCCCCTAGCCATGCAGCAGCACCAGCTCTTACTGAGACCTACTCTCTGGGAAATTAAAGAGTGCTCCTCTCCCTCAGCCTGGGAGCTGCTGCTCCTTTTATGATGTTTTCAGTGATGGAAGTTCAGAAGCCTCTTCACTGTGCGTTACAGCATTAGGAATACAGTCAATAATATTGTAATAACTTTGTATGGGGACACATGGTTACTAGACTTACTGTGTGATCATTTCATACTATATGCAAATGTCAAATCATTTTCCAGTACACCTGCAAATAGTGTAATATTGCATGTCAACTATATTTCAATTTTAAAAAATAGAAATTATACTGTATGCATGGAATGAAAAAACAATGCCCCTTCACACATCTGGGGTTGATCATTAGCTTTGACATTGCCCTGGAAAGGTGGAATCAGGCCACAGTGCAGCCACCGATGGTGGTGAGACAGTGCCACCCCGTGGCCACCTCAGCTAATCACAGCCCAGCCCTGCTTCTCAGCCCTTGCCAAAGCCCCATCCTCCCCAAGGCTAGAAGGGCAGCATTAATTCTCAGTTCGAGTAACTGTTGTCATCTCAACCTTCCACTCTCGCTTTCTGATCCTACTCCATTTCTTCAAATGGGGGTTTGGCCCTTAAGTCCTTCCCTGCTAACTGCCTTATTCTCTGAGACTACTGTGACTTATGGCATGTAGTCAGGGATGCTAGGTCCATGCAGTGGACAGGATATCCCTACTTGGAAGACGTTCACCACTGAGAGCCTGACCCCCACCCACGTGGTCATGTACAGTCCTGCCACACACCCACTTCCACTCAGCCTTCAATAGAACCACACAGCCAGGCCACTGATGGTCCACGCCGAGGCCCACCTCCCTGCCGGCTGCTGGCTGCCGGCTGCCGGTGCCAGCGCTGAGGTGGGACAGAGTAACACAGCCAGCCAGAAGGGAGCCTCGTTGAGCCAGCTTTCTGTTAGGGGTGGGTGGGCTTCACCTGTGCTTGCCGATTTGGGGTACCAGAATCTTGCCCTGTCAGTGGGATCCTTAGGGTTTATATATCCCTAAGGAACAATGTGGTAGGTTCTTTTTAACAACTTTCCTCCCTTTACTGATACCCCATGAGCCACAAGGAGTGGAAAGAGGGTTGTGCCCTGAAACTTCTGACCCCCCCTCAGGGCACTCACGGTGTTTTGGCACAGCTGAGGACGCAGGAGCTGAGCTTTCCGGTCTTTCTGGAGTCCGACATCATTTCCTGTCCTAGAAGAACTGGGTTCCTGCCTCTTGAATCACGTCCCTTATACCTCATTTTTGGTTATTTGTTAGTCTTTCTCAAAGTGTAATCTTTGGGTTCTGCATGACTTCCACAGAGGACCATGGTGCTTTCCAGTATGGCTCTGTTCATGTCACCATCACTCCCTATGGCTTCCCTAAGACATATACAAGGATAACTCTCTGGAATCCCTTGAAGAAGGAAGTCACTGATTCAGATTGGGGATGTGATTTCTAGAGTCGCCACAGCTTCTGATGGCGCATGATTTCCCCCTTGCTATTAAATAGTAGGTGTAAAAATACTTTGTTGGAGCTGGAGAGCAGGTGAACTGTCATTTAAAAACACCTACTGTGTATTAGGAGACAAAAATCAAACTAGCTATTTGAATAGGGAAAATTGAATATGAATTATTAACTAGTGAAAGGTAGTTCACTACTAAAGGGGGAAACAGAGGACGCTAAGGAATACGGGAATAGGAAATGCAGGAAGTGGCTGCCACCGCTAAGGATGAGGGAGGTTACCCCAAGATGGAACGGAGAACTTGGATGAGATTCAGACCACTTTGGAGAGGGTGTGGCTACAGCCCACTGGATGGTGAAGTTCACTGCGGCACCAGCCAGCTGGAGCTGGAGCACTGGAGGTCCCCCTGCTCTGATCCAGAAAAAGATCCCTGGAGGAGCGCCACGAGGTGAGAGAACCCCGATGCTGCTGT